GCTTGGGAAACTTATTTGTTCAAGAATCAAGTTATGTGATTGTAAAATAGAACTATATATGTGTATATATATGAGTATATTTAGTAAAATACATTAGAAGGAATGTAAGAATTATGGATAACCTTCAAGTCTGAGTTTAGTATTTGTAACCCAGATTGCTTTCTTCACTCCACCACTCAGTGGACACTGTTTCATTAAATGGCCAGGTTATCAGCTGGCTTTAACAGAATCTACAACTTACTTCATAACCAAGAACATGGTGTTATACTGAATCACGTAATATTATGGTTTCAAACAACTGCATCGCTGTGGCTGTAAAGAAAGCTTCGTCAGTTTGATTTCCATATGAACAGACAATAATTACACATCCAAGAATGTGTAAGCTATGTGAAAGAATAACTACTGTATACCTCATCTCTCAGTAAAACTAACAAAATACTAAATTGCCAGTGCTTTATTACTGATATGCCATCAAAGTATCTGCTTCAGCTAAATTGTCAGTCTGTAAAAATGAGAAATCCCAAATTCAGTGGTTGGTCTATGACTACTTATGAATTCCAACTTTACTGTAAGAAATTTACTTCAAAATACTGAAATACACACACAAATTTGAAATGTGAAGGTTATACCAGCAAAAGGAAAACAAACATTTCAAAACTATAATCAGAAATACATTCGCTGTCATGTTAACACGTGGTTATTCTTGTAATTGGAACTGTTACTGAGCACCCAAAGACAATATCCAACAGCATTTTGGAACAGTTCTGAAATACTGCTTCAACCTGTGAAATGCTATAAGATTAAAAATTGAGGCAAAACTAAAAATCTGTTAAGGCATCTCTCTAATGTTTCAAAATCTAACCAATTGTCAGTTTAATTATGCTTCATCCCCCTTCCCCCCAATTTTCTTCCTTTTAACACTCATCTTTTGTTACTTTCATGGATGGTGGAGATTACCCCAAATTACTCTGGTTTTAGTATTATTACCTGAGCGATGGGTGGGCTGTTTTACCCATGACTGTAAACTGGTGAGTGATCTTTCTGTCCTTGACACCTCACTGCACCCCCACACCAGGCTGAGCAGTGTTTCAAAAATTCATTGCAAACAACTTTTCACAAATTCTTGGAATTCTTGGATTTTTTTTTGGTGTGTGTATATCTATCTATCTAATTATGCTTAAGCTAGTAGAGTGCAATGATAATACAGGTTTTGTACTAAGTGCTTTAACAGATAAGTTGAATCCAGATAACAGAACAAAGAACATAGCACTTATGATATGCTCTTCACATAAACACAAAATGGGAAGGTACTTGCTGGACCAACTTTAGTGTCTGTTTAGCTTTAACTAGTAGTAGACCATGCATCATGATTCTACGAGTTCAAAACTATTAATTTGCTCAGTTATTTTACTCAATCTCTATGGACACAGATACAAAAAGTAATGTTAGCACAAGAGTGAGAAAGCAATTAAAAGGCTTTAAATAGCTTTATTCTCTTTCAGTAATGTTCACTTAAGCTTTCATACTAGGTCAAGCTTCAGCCAATTGTTTACTTGTTCTTACATTTCCTGCTAGACTCAGGTCATCAGATAAAAAATGTTCACAGTAAGTTATAAAGCTAGATACAACCAGTATATTGATTGCAATAAAACTATAATACTGAATGATTCCTCTTTCAAGAAGAGCAAGACTTTGAACCATATAGCATCTTGGATTCCTCAGGAACAGACATATAGCATTATCGCTCCTGTTTCTCTTCAACTACCAAATTTGAATCAAGACTATGCAACTCAGACTCTCCTGTCAAATAACTTTACTTCCAACCAAAATAAGAGAGATACAACAAAATGAAATTTAACTTTTGATAAGCTGAATATTAGAGAGACTTCCTATGTAGATAACAGCTAGGCTTTTAATATTTATTTTAAATTTCTTATGTGATTTGTATTATCAGCATACTATACAAACACTTAACACAGCAAAAGGATGCAGTATTTCAAGTTTTCACCTTCTATCTCCATGGAATTATGGCAACTCTTTATCCTGAACTTGCATATCTTACACACCTACCAAAACATTTTGTCTTTGGACATATTGGATATTAGGAAAAATTTATTTACCAAAAAGTTTGTCAGGCACTGGAACAGGCTGCACAGGGAAGTTGTGGAGTCACCGACCCTGGAGGTACTTAAGACATGTAGATGTGGTGCTTATGAACAAGGCTTAGTGGCAGACTTAGCAGTGCTGGGTTTACCACTGGACTCTGATCTCTAGGGTATTTTCTAACTTAAATGATTCTATGATATTGCTCCCAAAGAAGAATTTCAGAAATATCTGAAGAAAGTACAGGAAAACAACTGTAAGTAAACCTGCTGTTATGAAATCTTAGAAGGAATTTGATCGTTAAGGTGGGTTCAACCTTGGCTGGCTGCCAGAAAGTCAGCCACCCACTCTCTCACTGGTCCTCCTTGTTGACAGCCTCTGCTTTGGCCTGTGGGGGACCATTTTGAAGCCAGCAAGAATGGGCTCTGTCTGGCATGATGGGGCAGTCCCCAACCTCTTCTCCCAGAAGCCATTCCCCTTGCTACCAAAACTTTATCATGTAAACCAACAGGATAAATAATATATTTTTAGCAGATAAACACAAACAAACAACAGAAAAAGCTGATAGGAAGAAGGCGAAGACTCAAAACAAGGACTTAGTTATCAAGCTATAGCATTAGTCAGAATAAATTAACAGAACAACCAAAACTCATGTTCCCAAAACCAAATATTTTCATTCAAACAAGAATTCAAGCAAGCACTGTAGTCTGTCATACAGAATATTGAATCAAATTATTTCCTTCTGGTGTTGCCTTCTAACTACACGAATGTTGTTCCTTTCTTACTCTAACACTGCACTACTTTTGAGTCAGCACTTGCCTTGCTTCTTCACCCTGTGTTAAAGACTGCGGAGCCTTGCATGGTATGAAAAGAAATCAAAAGTTGTTATATAGTGCATGCTTTTAATCTGCTAATTTTCGTATCAGCATAAGAACTACATCTATTACTGGTATGTCTGAAGACAACCACAGAAAAGGCAGCTTCACTCATTATCTAACCTGCCTCTGTCCACAACTTCAGCAGACAAACTGCTATGGTGTTAAAATTATAACCATGCTGCACAGATGGAAACAGCTCTGACCACCTAATTCTCCAGCTGAAGTCTTCACAGTACCAGCACATGAACCCTGAAATCCTACCAAATGTAGAGTTCCAAAAATTGTGGTTTATTGGTAAGGCTGTTTATCCAGGCTAAATAGTCAGCTAACTCTAACACAAAACTACAGCTGCCTTCACGCCTCAGAAAAAGTCACAAGCATTCCAATGAGAAACCTGAACTCACTAGTATTTTCACATTATGAAATTTTGTAAATTGCAAGTTTGACATGAAGATAAGAAACCTTAATAAACCTTCCTGACTGTGATCTTCTATTTAGCAGCAACCTCTCTTTTCAAGAAGTCTAGGCTAAGCATCCCTTTGATTAATACATCCAATAACAAGATCAATGGAAATCACAGTTTCACAGTCTTCCTTACTCTTGGTCTTCACCTGAAACACTACTGAAAGCAGAAAAGAATATGAGGTATGTGTTTGGTTTTGAGCTTTTTAATTTTTATTTTGTTTATTATTATTTTTTTTATTTCAGCTACCTGTAATCTCTAAAAGTTACAGGGAAGGAAGAAAAGAGATACCTGGGATTTTGTATTCACTTGCTGGTTTAACTTCAGAGTCATCACCCTACTCCTATGCCTGCTTCACAATGCATTAGTTCAGAGCTATCTAATGCTTAATGTCCAGATCTAACTTACAGCAAATACTCCAGATCTAAATTAGCATTTCAGCCTCTGCCTTTGGCTATTCCATCACTATGAAAATTTCACTAAGTATGCTTCAGCATTCAGCATTTTACCTGAGGCAGGGAAGGAGTCTTAAGTCACCATCTAAATTGGTACCTACAGCTATCATCTTCCATGTCTCCACACAAACATTTCTGAAGCCCTTAGCTTTGCCAGCTCTGAACCAATGAACAGAAACCAAATTAGCATCACAAGAAGAAAGCTGGAATCCATATCAACAGAGAAAAGACTTCAGAAACCCCTGGGCCTCAATAGACTAGCTTTGCTATTCTTGAATGTGCTCCAACACGACTCATCTAAACTTTTCAACCAGAAGCCCAGGGAAATTTTGTATCTTGGTTTCTTGGTTCTATGAAGAAAGAGAATAGCAAGAAACTTCCAGGCTAATTAAGATTCATTATGCAAATAATCTAGTTTTACACAGGTCAGTTAGGAAAATATGAAATGACCAGTGGTAACAGCAAAAGGGCACAAGCAGATACTGCCAATAAATCTTATGACAACATGAAAAAACAAATGTGATAGCCACTGTTACACCTTCTATATCAAACTAGAAAAGGAAAAGCTATGGTGTACACTACCATGCTGAATTGTATTTCATGCAGTAAGCACAAATGTGTCTGCAACCGAACCTGTGTGGAATTTAACCACGAGAGGATCCTTTGTGACACGACAACAACTATCAATAATACATACTCTAGAACTCAAAATATTTTCACCTATGCACTGATGAGACTAACAGAAACCAATGGAAGTGCTTGCTTTGCTTACTGGCACTAAGAAAACAGGACAGTAAAATCAACTACATGTTTTTCAGCTTTGCTAAGATAAAAAAAAAAGAAGCTCAACCTCCCTTCCTATTCAGAAATGCTCTAATAGCCACAACTTAACACTAGTGAAAGCATAAAACTTTATCAAAACAAACAGGTTACCAAAACAGAAAGTCAGTGAAAAAGAATCTCTCAAAAATACCATGATCCTAGAATGCACCTCATGACAAGTAAACGTGAACAACAAAACTTCACTGGCAAACTGCAAATTAAATTATATCAGTGTGCTACAATACTGTACTATCTTTATTCCAGCCATCTTTCACTCACATTTTGTGGGTTGATATCCTCTTCTCCCATAGGTTCATCCACAATTTGCTGTCCATTCTGTAAAAAAAACCAAAAACAACAGATACAGCAATTTACCAGAAACACTCAACCCAGGTACAAATAAAAATATATTACTGTACAGGATCAAGTATTCTCCATAATCTATTTAAAAAAAAATAATCACTGAAAATAAACACAGAAAACTGCATAATTCTGGCACACAATGTCACTCTTACTTTCATCCTCATGTATTATCAAACTGAATAAAGTTTGACAAAAAGAAAACAATACATAAAACATAAAGCCTTACTACTACACAGCTAGATATTTTCCACTATGAACTCTGAAAAAGTTAAATCTGTTGAAAGGTTAACAGTAAAAAGCCACAACAAAGAACAGATAAACTGGTTCCTTTTAAGAGGATACGTATCGAGTCAGTCCTTACTCCACACCATGACTACTTCAAGGACATTTTTAACTGCAGTATAGCCTTATAAAAACTATGAGCACAATGCTAATTTTATTAGCCAGCACTTACTACCTTCTGTACTTTTCTAAGGATGATTCTAAAGAGTCACATAGAAATAGGCTTTTGAATAGGAAACGCAGCCACAGAGATTTTAAAAAAGCTTAAATACCTTGTCAGTCAACAAATGCTTTCCATTCCTTGCCAGTGATACTATATTTAGAGACTTGTTTCCCAGAAAGACTTAGAATGAGCCTGCTTACACAACAAGTATGGATTTTAGCAAATTGTAAGGAAAATTATGTATTTCCTAAGTCACAGTACAGGATATCACCTGGGATATCAACAAATGAAAACCTATTAAAAATGGTTACATTTTACATTACCACTGGGAGCAGAATTTATGTTCATTTTTGCACTGTTTCCCTAGAGAACAAAAGGCCAAATTAATCTATTTTTTCTGAACTTTATTTACTTAGGATAAAGCTATATGCATGCATGGATACGTATCTTCTAGATGCTGGAAAGATAGTAAGAGCTGCTTAGAGATTTTATCTTTATTCTACACCTTCCTTTCCACAGTTCAGCTTTTCTGCAATCTTCTTGCATGGAATGTTCTGATAAATATATAGTCTTCCAGCTTTTATAAGAAGTAACAGATTAAATCCTAACAAATAATGAATAAAAATATTGCAAACACACTGAATGTCCAATCTCAGTTGATTACCGGCTCTCTATCAAGTTTTCTACCGAGCTAAAAGATGCAGCTGGATAAAGCTAAATTATTATAATTACAGATTCCCCAAATATGACACAGGGTTGTTTTTTTTCAAACGGGGGGTGGGGAGAGGAAGAAAGTTACAGCTTCTGATTGTCTATATGGTACAGATTTCTGGCATTTTCTCATCTTAACTGCCTGCAGGAAGATACTAGAGATTTCCAGTATCACTCTAGTCTACACTAGAAGTCATCTTTTCATGAGGGATGACTAGTAAGAAATCAGCTTCACATATGATAGGTTGCTGCAGAGGTGAATATAATCTTTATAAACTGTCTCTGTCAAGGGCAGTCAGCATTACATCTTCCAGTTTTACAGCTAGGGGTAATTTGATGATACTACAAAAAGCCTAATTCCCCCTCACTGTAGCATATTTTACTTATAGTGTACAAGCAGTGAATATTGTAGTGTTCTTCCTTAACATACTTAAAAACTTGAAATTATCAAATACAAGACCATAAAAATACCAGTTTAGCGAAGTAACAGAAATTACTGTTTTTAATAAAGCCTGTTTACAAGAAAGCACATTGTGTACACATATGTCATTACCAATAAGTGCACAAGTCACTTGTTTTGCCTTTTCTCAAAGCTATGCCTATATTGAAATTAACATCTGTATTTTAGCTACACATCTCTATATTCTGTTCTTGCTACAAGATAGCCTGTAAAGTATCTCATCAATAGGAAAAAAATGAGACAAAACCAGTAGAACAAATAAGACAACTGACGTTGGCTGGAAAGGAGGAGTCTGCAGTGTCTAAATAACTAATGATGGCTAAACCCTAGGGACTAAAATTGGGCAAATTGTGTATCAAAGCCATGTGCTCTAAACTGACTCCACACGCAGATTTTCAGAAATAGTGATTCTTGCTACAACCACCATTCCACTGAACGATAATGTACATTAACTGCAGGTTAAGACATCACTACATAGTAAGCTTTAAAATTTCATGCTTACTATTTTAAGACAACTGAAGCATAGTTGAAAGTGGAACACATTATCAGAAATTTGAGGCAAGCCTCTCTTTGAAGACAGAAAGGTGAGATCAACCACTGTTTTTAAAAAGACTCTAATCTTTAACCTTGTTGACTTTTTCAACATTTTATCAGTCTACCAGAAAAAACACCACAAAAATTCTGCAACACAAATGAACCGTTTTGTGCAATCTAGTTTTCCTGTTTAATCCTGCACTGCTTTCAGTTACTTTTCAGTTTAATTCAAGCACTGCATTCCAAACGCACTCCCTGGAACTAGGAACAAACTCAAGAAATCAGCATGTACACCATGTAGTAACGTCTGAGCCAGATCACTGGATTAGCAAGATCTTTTTAAATAGGTCTACCCAAGCAATGATTATGCTAAAGGAATCACTGGATGGTAGAACCAGTTTTTCTCAGAACAGTCTCAGGTAAAGAAGAATATGCATATATGATGTATGATTTGCTGGTATATGATACTATTAAACGGAAAGCAGCTGTGTATTCAGCAAATCTACAAAGCATAGATGCCTGCCTTATGAGTTAAAATACAAAACCAAAAGGTTCCTATTGGAAGGCAATATTTACACCACTGTGGAATGAGGTCTGCAGACTGCTTAAGAGGTGAGCGAATGAAATGGGTTCCATCCTGCTGGGTATAGATTCGCTCTAATATCTAACTAGAACCAAGGGCTTGTCTCAATGACATAACAGATTGGGACTAGACAGAATAGTCTGATTAACACAGAATAAGAGAAAGGTGACTCTATCTCTCACATGTACAGATTGGTCTAATTCAAAAGAGAGAGTCAGGACTTTGATTATTCTTCTTCACTGCACTCCTCCCATAGTGGGACACTAAGCAGGCAGAATGGATCAAAGGTCTGGTTATTTCCAGTACTCTGGTTCCAAAAATAGAACATATTACAAATGACAGAACAAGAGAACTATAAGAAAAGCAACAGAAAAGATCCACAGAAAGTTTCTTTTTACACCTAAACACATCAGCAATTGATTTATGCCATGAAAGGAGGGTGCACACCCTATATAAAGATAACCTACAAAATTATCTTTCAAAACACTCAAATTCCTCTTCCAGTGGAAACAGTCATATTAAGTTAGCTACAAATTTGACTCCCTAAAGCTTTTAAACCTGATGTTAGATTTCACTAAACTGGTAGCAACAAATATTTAAATATAGTCAGGTTCCAGCAGTTTTCCTGAAGGCACATGGACAGCAACACTAATGAGATTCTACTGGTTCCCTAACCAAGTACAAAGCTGACAAACATCAGGGAATCTATATCAGGCACTTGGTACATCAATGTCCCCCATATGAACCAAAAAAGCCTTTACCACACAAAAGACAATCAACTGCAAACCAGGAAATCAATCATCAGTATTTCTAGCAATCAAAAATTACAGTTTAGCCCACTGAACTCCTAGAATATAGTAAAATACTTGATTGTCTTGGCAAAAGGACAGTTTAAAGAAGGTTGTGGTTTTTTGTTTTGTTTTTTTTAAATCACATTATTTCACTTCTTGATCAGTAACACATGCCCACAAATAATCACACTAGGAGGGACCAAGAGGCAGCAATTGGTAGTGTATGTTAGGTGGTACTGAGAATCATACAGTCAAATCAAATCATCCTTTGTAAGAAAGAAGTACATCAAGGCTTGTAGCCCACACCCCATCCACAATCAATTAATGGCTTTCTGTGAAGCTGGGAACATCCTGCAATCTACACACAAAAACTATATGGTGATCTAGTGTCTTAATGTAACCTGTGGGGTTTTTTTGTTATAAAATAAGGTTCCAACATTTACTGCAAAAGATCCAATTCACCTCAGAAGTCTGGCAAAATAGTACTATCATGGGCACATGCACAAAAAACCTAACACTTTTCCCTGTCTAACCTTCTGATTAGCACTATACCCATGTGGACAATCTTGTCTGTGAAATACACAACCTAACATCACTAAAAGCAATGTGATTGTACCAGTTTGGTGCAGGCTATCTTATTTTAATAATAATGTCAGGTACCCATCATTATCATCACAGATGTTTGTGGGTTTTTTTACAGGTATATAAACCACATTAATTGAAACATTAAGTGGACAACACACTGTTTCCTGTAGTGCTCAATCTTTCCTGTTTTTCCTGTTAGTTAAATCAGTAATATTACAGATAGTATACACTTGAAGTTTTAACATTTGGTTTACTATTACCTCTCTCACACTCTGTTTGCCAACAAAGTTCTGCTAATTTGGACTTGCTTTGCTGAACTTTATGTTCTTTCCTACAGTTTAATGTAATTTTTTTCTGAGGGACATAAGTTTGTCCCCAAAGCTTCTTCAATATTAGATAACATCAAATATATTCTTCCACCCCCAAAACATCTCTGCTTTGAGTTTAGACTATTGCTAGACTATTTGGGAATGTTTAGGTAGCCCCTCTTTATTTTGGGTAACTTTTTTACTCAACTATATTTGACAGTTATTTTTAAACCCCTTATGAAATTGAAATATAGTTACAGCTTTTTATATAATTCTTCTGCCATTAACCTCAACATTTCTTCATTATTAATACCGGGCTTGAATATCTAAGTTGGTAAGCAGCTTTTATACTATTAACACAGCTCAGTATATTATGTAACCATTGACTTTTACATATAATTGGTGCCTTTTAGCAGAACCATACCAACCAGTTAAGATATAATTTGAGAAATGTTACATTCTTAGACTTAACAATTGGATAAATCAAGAACTATGAACTGTGTATCAGTGCAGGATGATGTTTTGAGCACACAAATAAGCAGACAAGATG